GAAATGATCGTTGCGGAACAAGATCGAGAAAGTCCCAGGACGCATTTTCTCGGTAAGGTGATCCAAGCCAAATGTACTCAATTGAGTCGCGTTCTCAATTTCAGTAAAAGTCTGGATTGCGTGAATATCTTTCATGGCTTGTTCCTCGTCCCAAGTTAGCGTCTCCCCTCGGAAGACACGATCTTCAAGTTCCTGTTTGCGAAAGGGCAGTAATTGGACATCTTCATAGTATTGTGCCAGTCTCTTCAGTGCGCCATTGGCTTCGCTCGCGGGTGATGCGACCCAACCGTGCACGAGGGGAACGCCAAAAGTACCGTAGAGCCGGATGTCGTCTGTATCTTGGAAGGTGCCTGGCGCGTCATCCGATTCCTGTGTCGTCAATGTCAGCACTGGTTTCTCGTTAACCTTGCAGACAGTGATCTTCGTACCAGAGTGAGCCGAGGGTTGACGTTCATCCCTGTGTGCAGCATCGTCAGGAAGCGACTGAGCGCCTCAATATCCGGAAGTTCACCATCGGTCCCCATGTGAGTCGTCAATTCATCAAACAATGCCTCAATCAACAGACCGAGAGAGATCTGCTCTTTGGTCTGCAGCGCTCTAACAATTGGTGGTTGCAGGTCCCGATCCGCACGCAGTATTAGCGTGTTGACAAGGGCTAGTAACGGACATGGCCCGTTTTTGTTTTGGACTAGCACTGGAGACTCTCGCAATTTCCCCGTGGGATCTGTCCAGTTGACATGTCGGATCGAATATGTCTCGGACCTCTGCTCGTTCTGCTGCTGTTCATCTACTTCGGACAATGCAGCGTTTCTCGATGGTAGTGGTGGGGCCTGACTTGCATCTGCGTTCGGTCGCTGCGGCAATGGTGGCGCAGGTGCAGCTGAGGTATTCTGTGGTAGAAGCTGTGAAGTGGGTTCAGCGCTGGCGTGGGAGGGCTCATCGACTTCGATAAGTTCATGTGAAGATGGAGTCGCCATGGCAGAATCAGTCGCATAAGGGGTTTCAATGCCGCTCCCTGGAGCAAGCGACCCATGATCTGTCTGCTGCAGATATTGCGACGAGTACCCATGCTCATTACCTATGGATGATGTCTCGAAAGGAGATGTCGAGCCATTTTCGCGGACCGCACGAGGCATGGAAGACATATTTTGAGGGCCCATTCGATTGTTTTGCCAAGAGGGTGACTGTGCAGCTGCCTCAGGGCGTTCTTCAGCCCATGGAGACTCCGATCCTGATTGGTCTAGAAGCGACAAGCGCGCAGTCATTGGAATATAACCTTCGCCTAATACTGTATAAGCAGTGATGCCATAGAGAGTGTGGCCGGTAACAACCTACTCTGACTCAATCGATCACTTGAGTTATCTCCATGTGATGCTCGTAGGTTATTCGAGCCCCAAGGATTCTCATCGGATTGTTTCGCTTTCAAGAAAGGATTATTGGATTGGAGTTGGATAGGTGGTTCCCAATTCGCACTATTGTTCACCTCTTGCCATTCGTTCGCAGCCATCCTTCTCTGAGTGCCCGCAACGACGATCGAAGGTACACGATCGCCTCTTCTACTATCTAGTGGCGGCCCCTGCAGTGGTTCCATAGCATGGGCCGGCGGATGTTCAGAGACAGAATGGCTCCTGTCAGGCCTTTCCACTATATCATCCGCCCACGGGTTGGCGGTATCACTGGACAGAGTCCCCACAGGGGACTTCTGAGCTTGTTCCAAAGGCATCAAGTCGAAGGCTGGCGAAGTGTTGAGATCTGGGGAATAAATAGAGTCCTCCGATGGTATTTGATAAGGATGGGGAGAGCTTTTTGCCCTTCTGGGACGAGTTAGGCGCTTGGGGGAAGTTGAGGTAGCTGATTTCGCAGTCGGAGAGGTTGGTGAGATTGGAGAGCGAGGTTCAGAGCGAGCATTTCCTAGATTGAGACTATACAGATGCGGCGGTGCACGTTTTCGAAGGACCATGGAGGCGAATTTCTCCTATAGCCGCATGATTAGCCTCCAGGCGTCAATCTGATGAAGACAAGCTCTCGAGGCCCGCCAATGGTATAGCGGTCCGCCTTGTTTGGACAAAGGACAAAGGACACAGGATGATCAGATACCTAAAATGGCTTTAAAGCGGAAGGAGCTAGATGATGGATAAACTATGCTAACCTCAAAAACCTCTTCGGATGCATGTAGAACCGTGGCAGAGTCGCTGGTGGCTTGATGCTATTGTTCAGGACAGGTGAGGATGTATACGTAACCGGTGGCTCAGAAGCGGGCAACTGTGCTCAGCCACGGACTAGGATGGGTGTGATATCAACGCCATGCCGGCCTGTGCCCATTCATTATTACAAATGACTGAGAGACAGGACTCAGGATTCATTCCGAGAGGCCAAGAGAGGAATTGAACAAATCCATATACTACAAGTTGGGAGCAGGCATCCAGATTTCCACAAGCTATCTCTACCTAGGTTACCAGGCACTCTGGGGTTGGCGCTGTGGGGAATCTCAGCTCGTACGCCCAATCGTTACAAGGATCCAATTTTGCTGCCTGGAGTTTGCTCTGAAGTGGCGTTTAGTCGGTAAGGTATTGTATGATAAATACTTGTCTCAGCCACATCGCATTGTGGCGTAAATAGTAAGATCTTTTTTCCGAGATCTACAATGACAGCTGACTTATGTAATCTGCTAGTATCAAGATTGCATACTGATATGGCCCGTGCGTCAGTATCATGCAAAAAGAAAAAAAGAGAGGGCAAGTTTTTGGTTATCAGTGATACGGCAGAGATTGTCGCGCAACATTTCCAAGTCCGCATTCAACTGTAGCGGCACGTCTATCGCGAGAAATGTGTCACTCCTGAACCTTGAATTGACCTTCGTGAATTCAGTTCCCGACCATGCATTCCTACATTCGTCCTTACCAGCATGTCGCTCTGCGACTTCCGTCCGAGCTTACAAAAATTGTCAGACTCGTGCCAAATACGTACGCTAGTGTCCGGAATCGCTTTGCATATTTTCATACTGACCTTGGGCTCAGAGTAGTATTCCTGGGGAAATACGGGAGTTTCCCCGCCAACACGATTATCGGCCGTCCTTTCTACCTGACATTTGAGATCGTTGACGTTTCGGGCGAGAACAATGACAATTGCCTTCGCATTGTCTCCCCAGCTGAGCTGCACGCAGAGACTCTCATCGCCGATGGAGAAGGCGAGGGCGACGACGTGGAGGTGAACGAGGAAGGAATCCCGATACGGACCAACCGCGAGATCGTCGACGATGCATCAACCCAGAAGATGACCACAGAAGAAATTGAAGCTCTGAAGAAAGTTTCTACAGGCGCAGGTAGAGAGATCATTGAGAAGCTGTTGGAGTCGCATTCCGCATTGGACCAGAAGACGGCATTTTCCCTCGCAAAATACACATTACGGAAACGGAAGAAGTTCCTCAAGCGATTCACAGTCCTCCCCATGGACGTTAGTCTTCTGACTAACTATATGTTGGAAGGCAAAGAGGCGATGAAAACAATGGAGCTTCGTGACGAGTCAATAGGCCTAATTGGGTGCTGGGGTAATGTGCATCACGGAGGACAATCGTCGTTGGAAGGGGCTATTGCGTCAAAACCTAACGGTCGTTACCTGGTGATTGACGAAACAGGTGGCTTGGTAGTTGCCGCCATGGCCGAAAGAATGGGCATACTGTACCCTCACGATCAGGAGGACGAGGACCAAGAATCCGCCGAAGGGCCTGAAGAAAATGGCGAGCGACAACAGACGAACTCCATGGCCCAAGCCATGGCCCGCCGCCGTCATATGTCTGCATCAGGCAATTCACTCACTGTCATCCATGCGAACAAGCAGCCTAGCTTATCATTACTGAGATATTTTGGCTACGATCAAGACAATCCCGACGAGTCGCATCCTCTTTACAAGCATATGAAGACCGTTTCGTGGATGCAACTTCTGGACCCTCACGCGGACACTATCTACACCAATGAACCAGAAGTAGTCCCCGACGAGACTCTTGCCACCTTCAAGTCCAACAGACGCAGCGCATACTACAAAAAGCGGAGTCGCTGGGAGCGGGTACGACGGGTCGTCGACGAGGCTCGAGCCGGTAACTTTGACGGCCTCATTGTCGCAACGCTAATGGAGCCGGCAAGTGTACTCAAACACACTGTCCCACTACTGGCGGGTTCCGCTCCGGTGGTAGTATATTCTCCCACCATTGAGCCTCTGACCGAGCTGGCCGATCTATATTCCACTCCCAGGAGGACGGCTTACATCACTCGAAAACGCGAGATTATCGCACAGCACAGCCTACAACAGTCTCTGCAGGGGCAGAGCGAGGATGGCGAGAAGAAACCTCAGGAACCGGACTTCTCGGAATTAGATAAGGATTTCGCACTCGACCCGTCCCTCTTGCTGGCGCCCACAATCGAGACCTCCCGTGTACGCGCATGGCAAGTACTTCCGGGGCGCACACACCCGCTGATGTCGGGGCGTGGTGGCGCCGAAGGTTATATTTTCCATGCTATTCGCGTATTTCCGTCCCATCAGAACATCCAAGCTGCGGGTAATCCAAGCCGGAAGAGGAGGAAGGTGGCCACCCAACAAGAATCCGCAACACCAGCGGAGAGTGGAAGTGGTGTTGATATTGAAATGCTGTCATGATATATGTCATAGTATAGAGCCGCGAATCCTCGGGGCTGAGACACAGTTCTTGTAACGAAGTCATACGAATTCCCAGCCAAGTATAAGGAATGCATCACATATAATGTTGCACAGCAGTTAGAGTTCCTGCCTCCTTTGGGAGAAGGAATATCCGAGACCTAGGTGCTGAGTGGCACGCCAATTGGATCAACCTTCAAACAGGCGCGCGGCAAGGACCGGTCATGCTAAAATATGTCACAGTGAAATAATAATTGCAGCCCTTCGGTCGAGGGGACCAGGAAATATCTCAGAACGCTGCTGTTACAGGAGCTGGTCATAAAGCAAAAAAACAATGTCCATGTTTCAACAGTCTAGAGGCTCTTTCCCATAAACTTCCTCTTTGCAAAGCTCAGCCACCACTAAGGGTTAAGACGTTAGTATACCGAGTTTGTTCAATTAAGGGGCAGTATCGTCTACCTTTGAAGGCCCTTCACCGCCAGCGTATAACCGAGCATGTAGTCGAACAGCGATTTCCTGTCGTACTTGAGAGAGGTATCTGATAATCAAAGCGCATTAACCTCAGCGCCTGAAGCTTGACAAAGGAATTGGAACATACTGTCTTAGTGTCTCTGCGTCCTGGCGGTCACGGGGAGGCTCGAACGCCTGGTTCAAAGGGAAGGCCACATCACCGGGAATAGCGAAATGGTCGAGCGAAACGTTAATCAAAGCCTGATATATGTCCATTAGCAGACCCTTTAAAAAAGATTCCTGTCGCAATAGTACTTTCTCAGCCTCGCGGGAGGTCATGCCCGGCTTGACCTTCCCCAGACATTCACTGATGAACAACGTTCCGTAGATGAGCATGCGGTCTGCAGGTCCATTGATCTCAAAGTTCCGGAAGAGCACATTGGCGCGGAAAAGAGACAGGATTTCGTCTACGCAGTCGTACGACTCGCTGTCGGGAGGCACATCGGCTTCGGGGACATCGGCGGGCAGCGGGGGGAGGGTGTATGCGGGGCCGCGAGTACGGGTGCGGAGGGGGAGGACAGGGAAATTGCCTGAGGGTAGACGGTGACAGCTGATGTTAGTGATGGGTCCGTCGCAGCATGGCGGGAAAATTCATGCATCTCTGGAAGGAGAAGTTGGCGCAGAAGCACATGCGTTCGTACCTATTACGGGAACATCCCGGTCCTCAAGGAAGATGGAATGGTAGGCCTAATAAGAGTCAGGAGAGAACATGGAATGACCTGCCAGGTGTTCAATTGAAATGCTCGTACCGGCATTCTGTCCTATAGCGATAGATATAATCAATCCTCTTAGAACCGGTGTAAGGAGGGTCCTCCGAGCAATAAACGAAGCGGGATAGTTGTCGTAACTCGTAAGGCGGTGCTGCTGCCAGACAGCGGGAGGTGCCCATTCATGTCATCACCAGATGCGCCTAAACCCAACTAAGGCAAACCATACCTTAGCTGCCTCCCCATGATTTTCCGGCTCCGAATCTCTTTACGCGCTGGCGGAGTTTCGACGCGTCAAGGTTCATTTTGCAGAAGACCATTTACAGAACGCTAGACAACATTGTTCTGGCTTTTTCTTCCAGCTGATCCCGCCGACATTGCTGGTTTAAGTCGCCGTCTCAAAATGTCAGACTACGAGGATGAGATGGACGTCGATGTCCCAGCACCCAAGAGCGCAGTTCAATTCAGCTCCGACAACGCCAGCAAGAGAGCTAAGAGACCAGCGGCAGATTTGCCAGTTGAGGCTCAAGATAACCTACCATGGTCAGTACTTGGCGTACATATTTCTCACTACATCGCTAAATGAGCCCCGCAGGGTAGAGAAGTACCGGCCAAATACCCTAGACGATGTGTCCGGTCATCAAGACATCCTCGCTACCATTAACAAATTCATCGAAGCAAATGTATGCGTCAAAAGCATCGTCGAGACCACTCATACTAATGTGATTGCAGCGGTTACCCCATCTTCTGCTTTATGGTCCTCCAGGTACCGGTAAAACATCCACAATCCTCGCGCTCGCAAGACGAATCTATGGCAGCAACAATATGCGGCAAATGGTGCTGGAACTCAATGCTAGTGACGATAGAGGCATTGATGTAGTGCGTGAGCAGATTAAGACTTTTGCCAGTACGTTCATATCATACCTTGGTTGTTGGGGCTTTGGAAGGAAGGTCTAACCCATCAATCAGGCACGAAGCAAATCTTTTCAATGGCAGCCCCGTCGGCCTCCAGTGGCTCTTCACTAGCTTCGTTCAAGTTGATTATTCTTGACGAAGCTGATGCGATGACCTCGACCGCCCAGATGGCTTTGCGACGGATCATGGAACGATATACCGCGAATACTAGATTCTGTATCATCGCCAACTATACACACAAACTGTCACCGGCTCTCCTTTCACGGTGTACTCGCTTCCGCTTTAGTCCCTTGAAAGAGCAGGATATCCGGTCGCTGGTAGATCAGGTGATCGAAAAGGAGCAAATCAATATCCAGCCGGAAGCCGTGAGTAGCTTAGTGCGGTTGAGCAAGGGTGACATGCGTCGCGCATTGAACGTGCTACAAGCTTGCCATGCGAGCAGTAAGGATTCTACTATCTTTGAAAGCAAAAGTTGGATACTGACTGGGACGACGTAGGCAAACCGCTGCCGATGAAAAATGCAATGAAGGATGAACCACAATCCGAACCCGAGATTATCACGAACGAAACGATTTACGACTGCATTGCTGCACCACATCCATCCGACATCCAGGAAATCATGACTACACTGCTTTCAACCAGCGATATCACATCCTGTCTTAATACTCTCAACACACTAAAGGCAAACAAGGGTCTCGCCTTGGCCGACATACTTTCAGCTATGGCAGAACAGCTGCAGCAGCTGGAGGTGCCACCTCAGACAAGAATCACTTGGCTAGAAGGTCTTGCAGATATTGAATTCCGGCTTTCGGCCGGTGGATCGGAGACCATGCAGACCGGTGGGATGGTGGGCGTGATACGAAACGGTTGCGAGTTGATGGACGCAAAAGCTCGGTGACTGGGGCATCTGACGCTGGTAGAAGAGAATAGAACATCTTGAACAGTTCCTGGGGAAACAGCTTCGATGAAAGAGCCAATGGCTTTCTGCTCTGACAATCATAGCGGTTCAGCTCCGACACTGCACCGCTCGCAAGACAGTGTTCCCGATCTAAGGAGCACGCCAGCGCGTCATAGTATTGGAAACATTTGATGGCGCATCGCCGGTATTTCCGGGAAACAGAAGTCAAGGAACGAGACGCGCAGTTCCTCGACCCACAAAGTGTCTAGATAGTGCAAGAATCTGGGCAGCCCGAAGCTTATTTAGGCGCTCATAATATACCCACATAGCATACGGAGTACTTCGATACCTCTATTGAAATCTCGTTTCACCGTCATTGAATGCCCATTTGCTTTAGAGGCGTCGGAGAAAACACCCAGAGAGATTAAATCGGGATGCAGAGTATCTACTTCTTGTCAAGGGCTGAATTGTATAGGGACGCCACTTTTGCTTCAGATTGAAGAGTGAGCAATAATAAGCAACAATAATGAGCATTCTCAAGATGGACACCAGGTACTACCAGGATCCTATGGAGTGTCTATGAGTAAAGTGGGGTGTTTGCTACTTTCTGGCTTTTTGAAGGAAATTGATGCATCATGCTCATGATGATGAAGCTCAATATCGCTTTTTGTGCAATTCGAACAAGATATACCAGAATGAGAGCCTCTACGTACTATGGAAGCAATTCTCTAACCAGACATTTTGACCTTATCTATCAGTTGACACTCTTTTGCAGAAGATGCGACGGAAGGCAGCGCCGAGGAAAAACATGAGTTTCTGCCCCGCCAGAGAACAAGGTACAGATGTCCGCGGAGTTCCCCGATAGCGATCTTACCATGGATTTCGCGTAGGTCTATGAGACTTAAGAGTCTCCATGTTGTCCTCGTAGTCTCTCGAGCCTTAAAAGATAAACTTCCGCTTCCCAAGCCAAGGTGGACAATCGCAAGGATACGGGACAGGGCATCGCTCTCTCCACTCTCAGTCAACCACTGAACTGTTGCTATCTCTTCCGATAGGTGGTATTAGCTAGTATTTTCTCCTCTTCTTGACTCATTGCTTGCAACATGGAGTAGTACGCCCTGCTTGTTGGCCCTGCAATTCTCCTTCGAAGATGCTACTGGTCAGATGCAGCTAGACAGGTTTATTAAGACAAGCTCCGAAATACCCCTCAGTCGTAGCTAGAAGAAGATTGAGTTGTTACCAGTGGTTGTCTGCTCTGGTCCCCACTGTGGACTGACTTTAAACGAAGTCATCATGATAACAGTCAACGGCATGACTCCGCGGGGTTGTTCTCCAATTGTCTGCTGATAGAACGGAATATTTAATCAATCATGATACCCACTAAAAGATCTCGAAAAGCTGGTTCCCCTCTACCGCCCTCGATAGATCAACTTGCTGAGCAGCCTCATCATGCGGACTTCGGTGCAACCCACCAGCGTCCTGCTGGCCCTTATGGCCATGCCCCTCGCATCTGCAGAAAAGGTTCTTGGAGCTTATATCTTCGCTCGTCATGGTGATCGGACGCCCAAGGTGCTGGGCAACACTCAACTCACCGACCTGGGGTATAAGGAAGTGTTCCTCACTGGTAGCTACTACCATGACCGCTACATCAACTCCAACTCCTCGCACTACATTCAGGGGATCAGCGAGGAGATTGTCAATCTCAACCAGATCAGTGCTTCGGCGCCCTCAGATAACGTGCTTCAGAATTCGGCCACCGGTTTCCTGCAGGGTGTCTATCCTCCCGTCGGATCCATGGCCAGCCAAACACTGGGCAATGGCACGACAGTTGAGGCGCCCTTGAACGGCTACCAGTTGGTCCCTCTGGCGATCATCGAGACCGGTACCAACAGCGAGAGCAACACCTGGTTGCAGGATGCGACCCAGTGCCAAAACGCTGAGGTCAGCAGCAACAACTACTACAGCTCAGCGCTCTACAAGGGTCTGCTCGCCTCCACCAGCGACCTCTACAAGTCGCTTTCGCCATATCTAAACGACACCTTCACCGACTCCAAGATGAGCTTCAAGTCCGCCTACACCATCTGGGACTTCCTCAACGTCGCCTCCATCCACAACTCGAGCAGCGACTATCCCTCCGCGGAGATCCGCGAGAAGCTGCTCCTGCTCGCCAACATTGAGCAGTACAACCTGGCCTACAACGCCTCCGAGCCTATCCGCGCCGTCGCAGGCTCCACCCTCGCCGGCGAGATGCTCCAGGGTCTCAACAAGACCATCACCTCCAAGGGCAAGAGCAAGCTGAACATCCAGTTCGGCTCGTACGGCACCTTCCTCTCGTACTTTGGCCTGGCGCAGCTGCCCGCCGCAACAGTCGACTTCACCGGCATCCCGGACTACGCCTCCTCCATGGCCTGGGAGCTCGTCACCAACTCCACCTCGGACGAGTTCCCCTCCGCCTCTGAGATCAGCGTGCGCTTCATCTTCCACAACGGCACCATCAGCAGCTCGTCCACCCCGGCCGAATACCCCTTGTACGGCCAGTCGAGCGCCACCATTCCCTGGTCCGACTTTGTGGCGCAGACCGAGAAGATTGCCATCACGGACGACGAGCAGTGGTGCAAGGCATGCGGAAACACGGACGGCGCGTGTGCCGCTTACACTGTCTCCTCTTCTGGATCCAACTCTTCCTCTACGGGCTCGAACTCGTCCGACGGTGGGGTGTCGCGACCCGTCGCTGGTGTTATCGGTGCCATGGTCACTCTGGCGGTGATCCTGGGTCTGGAAGCGGTCTTCCTGCTTTTCGGTGGATTCAGAATCACCAAGAAGCGCAATGTGTCTGAGACTGAGACCACAACTGTTGAGGGGCCTAAGAAGGCTTGAGGTGATGCATCAGCTTTTGATGTCGATTATTGTGGAAAATAATGAGAGGATTTGAATGGCTTCACTGAATGGAGACTCATGATATTGCGATGTTATTAGCAACTAAGATAGGTTCAATGAGAGATGCATATATGATACTAATGCATATAAATGACTTGGAATGGATGTTAAAGCCGAAAAGAAAGGGTTGATACTTCGAAGGCAAAATCAATCATTCTGTCCCAGCAATATTGGCACCCTAAGACTAAGCATAATCTGGAATAACGTAGTCAAGCATCTATCCATATGAATTCAATCATAAAGGAAAGAGGTTAAACAAATAAGATATGCCAAGTTATCATTATCACTACAATGCCCGTCGGCCTTTTCTATATTTGTCCAGGGTGCGAATCTTCGCATAGCTGGGTGGTGGTTAACATACCTCACTAAACACTGATGTTGTTCTGTGTGCTACTAGAGATACTGATATATGGCTATGCTACTAGATAGATAGTGAGCGCCTCTACTGATTTAGGATTTATCTGATCACTAGACTAGAGTCCAGCGACTATCAAGTAACCTCCCCCGTCAACTACTGGCTCTTCCACCAACTCCCTAATGATATTCTGACAGACATGCACTCTCCGGCCCCGTCTACACTCTACCTGCCTCCTTACCAGTTAGCATACCTCGTCTCCTTTGAATTTGAGGCGGCCTTGCCCTAAATAACTATACCTCAAACTGCTGACGTATGTCAGTCATCCATGATTGAGGATGATCACCAACCACGGCACGAGGTCCATCTCAGGATCCACATCGTGCGCAGCCAGTCGGCAATAGTCTAATCCAGATTCAATGCAAGAGCGCGGCCTTGCCTTTAAGATTGTTGCTTACTGGCCAAAAAAAGGAAAAAGGGAGCGACGAGACTTGCGCGTTCCTAATGATCCTGGTACGCTCACGCTGGACTGGACTCTGAGCCTTTGCCGTTCCGGTATCCGGTACCGACTCGAACAGTGAGTGCAGGACTAGGGTAGGATGGGTAGGGCTATGATGATCGCTCAGGAGTCCACGACATCTATTCTCGTGGGTCGCTGATGCCTCCGCCTGCTAGTCCGCTGGGAGGAGTGGGATGTCGTGATGGCCTTGCGACTATAGTTCTCATATACACCTGGTCGCAACTCGATAGGCAATCACGACTTTCCTGTCCTTCATCCAGCGAGTACCTGTAATGAATTTCCTCCGCGCATAGGTTCACGTCGAATGCATCAATAGCAGAGCTGGCTCTGCGACTGCGTGATGACACGTCAAGCCATGAAACCCAATGTTCGCCTGTCTGCGGCGCTTCTACTCCTCATCGTTGTCTTTGTGTTGAGCCATCGCTATAGCTCGATACACGGCCAGTCAGCGCAACCTGGTAATGTCCCTATATTGGCGGACGTGGATGGGTCGGAGGGTGATCTGGCGCGAGCTCAGGAAGTTCGCGACGGAGATATGATCCAACCGACCAAGTCTGTCGCGCGGGCTAGGCGACCGGCTATCACTGATCTTGTGCCTGTGCAAAGGTCCCCCTCGGTGCAGTGGACAATTGACGAGGAGTTTCATCGGGACGGAGTAATCGTTATGGGAAGATTGAAAAGCGAAGACGTGAGGTGGGTTATGAAGGAGCTTCCTGAGTAAGTTCTTTGCGTCATATCTATCCCTGCTTGGGGGTTTACGTATAGCCAGCTGATGCTCGAGCAACAAACAGATGGCAGCATGCGATCTACACCGTGGATGATCCACACGCGCCGCTCCGAGTGAAGAAGAATAAAGGCCGAGAGGCCAATGTGTATCTACAGTACATCATCGACCACTACCACAAGCTCCCCGAGACCATCATCTTCCTCCACAGCCACCGCGGCGGTATCAAGGGATGGCACACCGAGTTCTACGATCACAGCAACGTGAAGACGGTCCGCATGCTGAGCGTCGACTTTGTCCAGCGCAACGGCTACGTCAATTTACGCTGCGACTGGTACCCCGGCTGTCCGGATGAAGTGCAGCCGTTTCGCGAGCCCCGAGACGAAGGCCGCCATGCGGAACATGCGTTTCCAGACGCTTGGCATTACTTTTTCAACGGGACGAAAGTCCCGGAGATCGTTGCGGCTCCCTGTTGCGCTCAGTTTGCGGTGTCGAGGAAGCAGGTCCTCGAGCGTCCCCTGAGTGATTATCTTCGGTATCATCGGTGGGTCATGGAAACACCGTGGGATGACGATACTAGCGGGAGGGTTATGGAGTACATGTGGCATATCATATTTGGCCAGGAGCCTGTATAGTAAGTGTTGCGTTCTGATGCTCGATCTCGTTGACTGATGATATCAAGTTGCCCTGCTATGGAGCAGTGTTATAGTGATGTGTATGGAATATATGAGCTAAACGACAGTATATGGGACCCTATCTTCTAGAAAATCTAAATCAACCGAAGGTATACATCTCGAGAAATTGCATATGATCATGCCACCTGCTTTGCGAAGGAATTTCACTGTCTGATGCGGTATGAATGCTTCCTCTCCTAATGAGACTTCGCAAATGTCTTGATGAAAATCCCGGCGTTATGAACCCTCCAGCATCAGAACCAGTCTTATCAGAAGACGGATGTGACCCGGCCTCCACAGCTTATTTTTCGATACTGGAAACGAGTATCAACAACTAGTTGGACATGTAAGCAGATGTTGATGTAGTGTCGCAAGTAGTCAATATGTGCCAGTATCAAGCAAGAAAGATGAAACTCCCTGAAGATATTTGGGGACTAAATAAATTTACGTTCTTGATGCCTCAAGTGCCCCACCAAATGGTTTTCCTGGGGTTGTAGATGTAAAGGACCGATAGGATAAACATGCGCCGGCAACATGACGTGACCTCGAAAGTTCCCCAAAAAAGCTCCAACTTCCCGCAAATCCATCCTCGTGCACCAACCACCAACCCACGCTCTCTCCCCAACTTCAGAGGCTACTCGGATTATGCATTAGAAGTCTATGCATGTTTGCACTCAACAGACATCGATTGAGCCTGAAATTTCATCTCAACTGGAGCTGCTACGGCTGTAGAGCTCAATCCGCTCGGCTCCAGACTGTTAGAGCTGAGATCACAAGAAACCACTTCACTGGCCCTACAGACCACCTATTCTATACCTAGAAATACAACATGTCAGCGCATTACACCACCGAGCCCCCGCCCACCGCATCCGCCACGCTGCACACCACCTTCGGCCCCATCCACATCGCCCTCTTCGCCAACCAAACCCCACTCACATGCAAGAACTTCCTCCAACACTGCCTAGACAACTATTACGCCGGCACAATCTTCCACCGCATCGTCCCTGACTTCATCGTGCAGGGTGGCGATCCGACTGGCACAGGCTCAGGGGGAACCTCCATCTATGAATATCCCGAATTTGAATACGACCCGGAAGCGCGTGATCCCAACGAGAAGGTCGTGCTGCGGGATGAGCTACATAGCCGATTGCGTTTCAACCGGCGCGGGCTGGTGGGGATGGCGAAGAGCGAGGACGGGACATACGGGAGCCAGTTCTTCATCACACTAGCGAACGCGGAGCGGGAGTTGAACGGGCAGTGTACGCTGTTTGGGCGCGTCGAGGGGGACAGTATCTACAACGTGCTGAAGATTGCGGAGGCGGAGCGCGTGGAGGGGACGGAGCGGCCTGTTTACCCTGTGAAGGTGGTCTCGTGCGAGGTCGGGGAGCTGGGCCCGTTTGCCGGGAAGTTGAAGAAGCGGGAGACGATTGCTACTGCGCCGTCGACTGCCGAGGAGAAGCCTGCGGCGAAGAAGAAGAAGAAGGCGAAAGGGGGCAAGACGCTGTTGAGTTTTGGCGGCGACGAAGGAGACGAAGATGTCCCTGTGCGGCCGTCGAAGCCCAAATTCAACCCGACTCTAGTCGTCGACGCCGGGATCCCTCCGGCCGACGACGCACCGAAGAGGACATCACCAGATGCGAAGCAGCAGAACCGGAAGCGCCCTCGTTCGCCCTCCCCGAAACGAGCCCCCTCTGCCGAGCGCAAACATCGTCCCAAGACTCCAGACCCTTTGACACAGCTTCCCCTCCCCAACCCTGAAAGCCCCGCTCGCTCCCCACCCCAATCGCCTCCAGCACGACAGTCGATCCTATCACGGACAAAGGCCGAGATCGAGAACCTTAAAGCCTCGATGCGGCGCACCGTCGCCACAGGCCCGGCAGACACCGGCCGCAAGAAATCCGCCCTGGAAGCCATGATCCCAGAGACCGCCATCCGCGGCCGCAAACGCCCACCCCCGGGGGCCGTCAACGGCGCCGGCCGCGGCAGCAGCACCAACGGCGTGACGGGCTTCAGCAGCGCCGCCGAAGACGAAACCCTGCGCATGTTCAACGCCTTCAGAGCGAAGCTCGAAAGCGCGGACGCCAAGTCCGCCCCTCACGAGAAGCCGTCGGCCTCGGCCACGGCCTCAGCCTCTGCCCCAGACACCACGAAACACACCTCCGAACAAGCCAACGCCAACAATGAACCCGAAGACGAAGAGGCCCAACTCTGCGACCTCCACTTCATCGCCAACTGCCAGTCGTGTAAGTCATGGGATGACACTGGCGCCGCAGAGACGGCCGCCGCCGCCGACGACCGCGGCTGGTTGACGCACGAACTCCGCTTCGGGAAGGATATGCTCGGCAAAGATCTGCGGTGGAAGCGCGAGCACCCGGACGATGTTGACTCCCTTGTTGTGATTGATCCCCGGGAGCGAGAGAAGGAGTTCGTGGGTGGGAGGCGACGCGGCCTTGAGCGCGATCGTGAGCGGGATCGCAAGCGGGAGCGTGTTGGCGATCAAGAATGGGATCGAAGGAGAAGGGAGAAGCCTTGATGTAATGATAATCAAATGGAACTGGAAGTATACCTCAACATCGCCTGTTTCCTCGATGGGTCCCGCAAGCTACGGATCCTAGTGAAGTCTTATCGTTAACCCTTAGACCTGGCGCTCTTTCCAAGGATCCGCTT